CTTTCCAGGCTGTAGTCCGACCGAGGCTATCAAAGGGGCACCTTCCATATCCTCCGTCGGGTTGCAGCCTGTCTCTTGTGCTTTCTCTGTAAACCCCTGCAGCCTCTCCAGGCCAAACCTGCTTCAGCGCGCTGATCTTTTTTTGTGCGTTTGTTTGGTTTTATTTTGCGCGGCTCACATGGGAATTGTGCGGACTGCCACAGTGCCAGCATTTACAGAAATAAATGCCCTTTAGGGCGGCGCAGAGACAAGTAAAGACGTCTGGTACGTTTTACAGCAAATTCCTGCTAATTTGCTGCATTTTCTGTCTATTAAAGCTGTCCCATGGGCTGCGATCGTTTAGGCCATGGATCACAAAAACTATTTGGTTTGAAAGTAAAAATTCACAGACGTCAGAATTTTATAATGATCCAGTGCAGCGGTACTGTTTTCCCACACAACCCTGTTGTTTTTCAGCGTTGGGTCATTGGGTATGCCTCGTGGGATGGGTGGGTAACCGGCACATTGGCACCCCCTGCTGGTGATTTTCCATCATCTTCATTATGCTTCCTCCCTCTTGTCTGGTCCTGTTTAGAAGACCTTAACTCTTGATAGACGACCTGCCCTAGAAGACCAAATGAGGCCGTTCAAAACATACACTGTGATTCAGCAATAATGTATCTGAGATCACACGCGTTAAGGCCAATTCATACTCTACTTTTCCATGTTCGCTTTGGGTTACGGACGAGGGGGCGTGACGTGACTTCCGTTATCAGGGGATGGCTGTGGATGACTGCGGTCAGTGCGCCTGTAGCCCAGATTTTTATGTTTGTGTTTTTATGTTGAGTGTCCGTGCACATCGGCCGCGCATGCGCAAGATAATTGACTAGGTGTTTCCAGTAGGTGGCAGCGTGGACATTCACAGATCTGCGGTCAGCGAAGAAAGTAGAGTCCCGTACCTACCTTTGAGGACACCGAGTGCTCGGTATTTTTTTATGCAACTTCAGTAACTTCGATCCATTACGGGGCATCTGGGAAGGGCTAACACTTCTGACCTCGGTTTTTGAAAAATCCTGACTACGGCCCTTGTTGTTGTAGTAGTTATGGTGAACTGCTGTATAAGAAGAGTCAGAGGTACCCGCATATCAAATTTTTCATACTGTACAAACATTATACCAAGGGATACGGTATTTTAAAAAGCAGCACTATTCCGGCATTTTGAAATCTTGGTGATAAAATTCACCAAGCAGGTGTGTGTGTGTGTGTGTGTGTGTAGGGGGGGGGGGATCCCGGCTAATTTTGTGGTAAGGATTTCAAAATACAGTGGTATGCCTTATTACTTCATACTGCCCAAGCCTTGACTAATAACTTTAAAACTTCATAAAAGTATACCCATCTCACTACACCGCTTGTATTTGTGTTTGTTGCAATACATCTGCCTGAGATCTGCTGGTCTGGTGGAACATCACTGCTCTGTGCATTCACCGATCGCGACCATCCGTATCCGCAACCAAAAGTAGTATGAAGACAAGCTGCCATGTGGACGATCATCCCCAGCGCAAAAGTGCACGCAGAAAAGTATATTATGAACTAGGCTTTACAACATATCTGGTCACTATAACATAATAATGTTATTGGGCAAAAGGTTAAAAAAGGCAAGTTAAAAAGTGAGCAAACTTGTGTAAGGAGTTCAGTACACAATGTGAAAGTGGCAACAAGCAAACGTGGAAAACAAAAAGAGGAAGTTAGTAACTGCCTGGTGATGGACTAGAGAGATTATAGGGTAGGGGTCCTGGGTGATGGGGCAGGGGTCAGTTGTGAGAGGGTTCTAACTTTGGCATGGCCATATGTAGACCATGTACACATTCTCCAAAAGTGAGAATCTACCCAATCAGATCCTTAAATAATTTCATTTACTGCAGTCGATATGCAGATCATGTAGTGAAATAAAATATGCGGTTATGCAGATCCTACAGTGAACTTGGAAACGTGGGCGTACAGATTCTATAGTGAGTGTGAGTCTTTGTCTAACTTTTGGGCTCGTGAACCTCTGCCAGAAGCTTTTCCACTGAGCATGTTAATATCTAGATCTGAAATCACCAAGGATTTGTGGGAAACTGGGGGATTTTAAAATTAGAAAGCAGTCACGGTATGAGAATGTGTCAAACACGGTGATTAACTGGAAATATGAGGAAGACCACTTGCTGAAACTGAAGGAACAATCACTAAAGTTAGAAAAACAAACGTCTCTCCGCAATGTACTGCTTCTGTCAACAGTCTATGAATTTGTGATATAACTTTTGTTTATTACCCCTTTAACAGCTGGTCAGACTTTGTTGCCTGTGACAGATGATATGCTGTGACTGCAGGGATCACAGTGTCTTTAGTATGACGTGAACTAGCAGCTTCTCCGTTGTGATCTGGTAGGACAGAGAGCCAGAACGGAAAGGCTTTCCTCTGTCTCCCCTCAGCTCCCATGCCCTGAAATGCCCCAAAATGAGCCATACTAATAGCTTACGGCTTATCGCCATACCGAGGTCGTAAGGTGTTGCATTTCCACAGGACGGCAGCGCTTACAATAGCGACGAGCTCTGCGCATCTGCGCATCTTGTGTAGCCCCTTCTCCCAGAGCAGTAGCTGACCCGCATTGTAAAGAATGCCTGACACTGTCAGACCTCCCTGTCATGTGATATAGTTATGATTTATTACACTTGTGTTAGAGATATCCTTCCTGTTCATCTGAGACAGCCTTATGTCACTGGGGTTTAACGTTTTTGAGGTCCGATGTTAAGACCGTCCAGGTCTTCCAGCCTTTGCCTGCCAGCTCTCATATCTCTCTCATTCTGACCCCTGTACGTGTTTTGTTCTATGTTGCTGAGCCAGCATGCGCAACTAGATAGAAGACAGAAGGAGGAATTAAGTTACACAGGCCTGAAACTTCTGCAGTGAGTCTCTTAGCAGCATCGCCGCCATCAGAGACGATGCAATCAGGACTTCAGGAAATCTGAGCCTTCACTAAGGATTAAGATAAAATGAAACAAGATGACAGAAATGTATTAATCCCCACGGGGGGACATTTTCCTTGCCGAGTATCATTACAGAGTTAAACCCGTGCACTGTAGTCTACCCCTCACCCTCCAATGAAATAAATAATAAATACTGGATAGAAAGGGTATAGCACATGGCAGGTGGACCAGTACAGTGATGAGCCAGAGAGTTGGGGTAGTTTTCTCCAAGCTGGGGGTGAGTAGGGTCTTGGAGATTGGAAGCTTATATTTATTAATTTAGTAGGAACTCTTATCCAAAGATACATTTTTGACAAAGCTGGGGTAGACAGACTCTGGAGCAATTGGGGTTAAGGCCTTGCTCAAGGGCCCAATGGTGAAATCATTTGCTGACCCTGGGATGTGAACTGGCAACCTTCTGGTCATGGGTACAGCATCCTAACCCACAAATGAATGGTAGTGGGCATGAAGTAGCCTGAACATCTGACAGATCTGTCGAAATTATAACTGATTAGAACTTTCTGGTTCTTCTGCATAGAGTTGTAAGTCTTTAATATAGGCATCATATTCCAGATGTGAACAGAATATAAACCTGGTATCTCTAGGGATTTGGGTATGTTCCGGGTGAGAATTATCTGTCTCTGTCCCTCGAGGAACCCCCGCCCCCCCCCGCCCCCCAGGTGGTCCGGCAGACTCACCGGGCGAGCGTAACACCGCGGCACCCGAGATCTGGCAGCTTGCAGCGTTCCTGTCAGCTCCATTAAAGGCCTCGCCTCAGACTCGGTGAAGCGAGGGTCACGGAAAGCGCCGGCGAACAGAAGTGTGATTGTGCTGCGGCTGGGGGGGGGCCCCGAGGGTCGGGGGCTGCCCCCGCGAGGCACCGACGCAGAGGCCCCGGGGCGGAGGGGCCGTCTCAGCCAAACGACATAACCGTCCACAGACGTCATTTTCCACAGTCGGCGTGAGAGCAGCCCTTTAAGATGCCGCTCGCTCCGCCTCAATAAAGGCCAGAGACTGTGAGAGCAGACGTAAATGTTAGCCTTTTGGTTAGCATTCTGAGCCCCTCCTCCCGCCACAACACAGAAAACCATTCACCTCATCCAGGGCCGTGGCCTGGGCTATGCTAATTACTTATTAAAACTTAAAGCGTCCCCGTCTTTTTAAGAGCCCAGCATAATGACCGCACCCCCGCCCCCCTCAGCATGGAAACATTTATAAACCGTACTCCTCCCTCATCTTTCCAGATGGAGAGCCTTGTCCTTGGAAGTCACTTCGGGGCGAGAGACACGCGTTAAGTTGAGTTAGCAGAAGACGCCTGGCCGATTTTGTGCGGGTCCTCAGGAATGAGCGGGGGGGACGTTCAGAGAGGGACACACTGGGAGCGAGTTTCCCCACTGCAGCCGGAAGCTCAAAATGCAGCCAAAGATGCAGGAAAGGGGACCATTTAGTGTACAGATCAGGTACAAATGGGCTTTCATTTCTGCTGTAAGGGCCTGAATCCAGGTCATAGGTCACGAGGTGGGAAACACTCGTCATGGAAACAGCGACCCTCTGTTTCCACGCTGTCTCTGGTCAGGTTCCAAGTTTTTCCAACTACTTCTGTCTGATCCCGTGTCTGTAAATTCCAGATCAAAATCTATCCCTCTGGCTTTTTCGTGCAAAAACATGTTGGCTCTGATGTATGGTGAAGCTTTTATGATAGCTGAAGCTGAGTGCTCAGAAGCAACCCTCTAAAGATGCCTTCAAAGCAGATGGTTCTTCAGCCATTAGAGAATCCTGTTCATCGCACGCCGGGGTCTCCTTGGCGCGTGTGTCTGAATGGATGAACGTGTTTAAAACTAACTGATATCAATTGCTTTTTTGAATCAAGCTTGAACATTATTTTGCTGTTTGTCATGAGGAATCCAGAGATCTCCAAATACGGAATAGCAAAATGTTGCAGTTTGGTGTCCGGGCTGAACACTCTTGGTTTAACCCTGCTGTAATGAGTCCTCCTCGCCTCTGGGTGCGCTGCAGCTTCGACGTGGAGAATGGCCCGTCCTCCGCCTGCAGCCCACTGGATCCGCAGGCCTCTCCAGGATCGGGTCTGGTCCTCCACCCCAACTTCCCAGGACACAGCCAGCGCCGCGAGTCCTTCCTGTACCGCTCTGACAGCGACTATGACCTCTCACCCAAGTCCATGTCTCGCAACTCCTCCATTGCCTCAGAGCTGTAAGTCAAACACCACCCCCTGAAGTGGGTGGTGGGGGGGGGGGGCGACAGTGACATAACATGTCGGGTTTCTACATAACCTTTTTCATATAACACTTTTGATGGAAACTCACCTGTGTATAATCACTGTGTTATCAGTATGGAGTTCCAATGTTTCTTTGTGGGAATCACATATCAGCTAAGTAAAAACCAGCATGAATAAATACCCATGAACACCAAGCTATACGGACACTTACTCCATCACTCAGAATGGTCAGAATAATTCGGTTAGAACAAAGGAACCCCGAGAGACTTTATTCATTGTTTTAAACTCTTTGTTGTCCATTCATTTCATCGTTCAATGTTCCATTGTTTTGTTTTATGCTTCTGGGTGACACTGTTGCCTCACACCTCCAGGGTTGTGGGTTCTAATCCCACCTCCACTCTGTGTTTGTGGAGTTTGCATGTTCTCCCGCTGCCATCTGGGTTTCATTCTGCAGTTCAAACACAAGCGATTAGGCTGATTGGAATCTCTAAATTGCTAACTTTTTGCGTCTTTGTGATCTGCGGTGGTAGCCTGTCCAGGGTGTAACATGTGCTTTTATACACAGAATCATATCTAGGTGCTGTTTCTGTTTGGCTGACTGGCTGAACAATACCGTAAGTTTAATACTGGTTCTGCATAATGGTAATAAAACATAATTTTATTTTATTCACAGACATGGGGATGACCTGATTGTGACACCCTTTGCTCAGGTAAATATGACATTGGGGCAAAGAATATGAATTTATGAAGGTTGACGTCCACAGTGTTTATTTTTTAGGAGTCTTGATGTTTTGTGTTTTTTTCACATAGGTTCTTGCAAGCCTTCGCAGTGTGAGGAACAACTTCACCCTGCTGACTAATGTGCAGTGCGGGTCCAGCAAGTAAGGGGCTCACCAATCTAAAATAATATCGGTTTCATTTTAAATGATATTCTCTGTTTTGTTTTAAGCTCCAGACTAAAAGATTTTATTATGTGTCTGAGTCTGAATATTTTTGACTTCACCGTTATGTTTGCAATGTCAACTTTCGACCACTAGAGGGCAGGCGTGTTTTCACCTCAAAGCACATGGACTCAAAAAATTTCACCTACCTTCATTTTTGTATGACTTTTTTCTTTGTTTTGCTTTTGCAAAAGCACGAATGTGCACACATTAAATTATTTTCCAATAAAAATGTGATTCCAGTACATTGGTCGAAAGCACTTGTGCATTAACATAACTTACAGAAGTGAAACAGCGTGTAATGAATCTAAGCTCTGACGTTTGGTCTGATGTGGTTTTAAGCTTCTCTCTCTCACACCACATAAGCAGTGAAGCTGAAAATTCTAAAAACTGGGTCAGTGTCAAGAATTATATCGACTGGCCCGTGTAAGCAAACTTTGTTTAAAGTCCTTCATTCAGAACAGTCTGGGTTCAAAGGGAAAAGTCTGTAATTGTTGGACACAGTTCAGTTTGTCCCTGGTACATGCCTGTTTCATTATACACGGACTTAATTTCCAGTACCAGGAATCAGAATAAGGATTTTATTCTCTATTAAAATGAGAGTAAGGGGTGATTAATGCACCGTATAAAATGCTGGATCATCACGTTTTGTAGAAAATCCTGAAAGAAAGTTAGTACTTCTGGCTATAGGAGCACCCAAGCTAGTGGTGATGACTCAAACATGGATGCATTGCAGTCTCATTAGCCTCTGTGGTCTGCTAAAGGAGCGCTTTCACCAGGCTCACCAGTTTGCCTTTATCTCAGAGAACATCTGCTGACTGAGTGGGGGAGTCACTGTCAGTGCCTTTAAGGCTGGGGGAGTCACTGTCAGTGCCTTTGAGGCTGGGGGAGTCACTGTTAGGGAATCTGGGTCGTTTGGTGTGACTGCTGTCACACTGAAGGTGCTCATCTGTCCTTTCTCCCCAGGAGGTCCCCTGCGGCCCCCCAGCCCCCTGTCACCACCCGAGTCTGCCTGCCCGGTAAGTCCACCTCAGCTCCCACAATGCACTGCGGCTTGAGGTGCCTGAGCGTATCCTAAGAGGCCTGGCTGAGTCCGCTCTTCTAATCTGCTTGAGGAGACCAGAGGAAATGGGCCTTTGGGTGGTCGAGTGCTGCCTCCTCATCAAAGAGGGATCAGACTGCATAACCGGGGAGGTCCAGGCCATTCCAGACCACTTCAAAAGAGGATGTTAAGGGAAGCAGGGTGGACATGTCCTTCGTGTTTAGGAACAGAAGTAGAAGAAGTTTTCGGTCCAAATATAATGAGTGAACCGCATGTAACTAATCCATCAATGCTTTACATTAACTGCACCTTCATAATGCATTCATTATGCATTCACAGAATATTCAATGCACCTTCATAATGCCATCATGGAACATTTAGTGTACCTTCATAATGCATTCATAGATCATTCAGTGACCTTCACAATGCATTCATAGAACATTCGTAAGGAGCATGTAAGTATACCTTAACACCATAACATATTTTCACAACTTTAATATACATTAATAATAAACATGATTATATGATTATAATGTTTATTATCAAATAATGTTTGCTATTTATAAAAATTAAAGCTGTTAAGGCATGTTAGGATGTTAAGGTATATGCTGGTATATGACGAACACAGCAAAATTCATATGCTGCAGTTGCAGGGTAGAGGACAGGTGCATTGGGGAGCAATGGTACAGACAGCTGTGCAGTGCAGGACAAGACAGTGCAGGACAGACAGCAGTGCAATGCAGGACAAGACAGTGCAGGACAGACAGCAGTGCAATGCAGGACAAGATGGTGCAGGACAGACAGCAGTGCAATGCAGGACAAGACGGTGCAGGACAGACAGCAGTGCAATGCAGGACAAGACAGTGCAGGACAGACAGCAGTGCAATGCAGGACAAGACAGTGCAGGACAGACAGCAGTGCAATGCAGGAAAAGACAGTGCAAGACAATAATAGCATATGCTAATAATTTATAATTACCATTATCCATCCATTTGTTTTCCTATTGACTGTCCAGTACTGGGCAACAGAGAGCCTATTCCATGCAGCAAAGGGCAGGGGGACATTTATATGAATACATCTGAGAAACATATGCTCGTATATACAGTATTGTATGACATATGGCAACGCGTGCAGCTTGCTCTTGCAAACGCTGCTGCACGTGTGGTTTTGGGGCCAGATGCAGATCTGTAAAGGTGACTTATCTCCCCAGGCGTGTCGTCAGCGCGCAGCAAGGTCACCAAACCCGTCAGATACCCTGAGCGGCCTCCTCTCCGCTCGGCTCTTTTTCCATCCTCTCACTGTCCAACGCACTTTTGCGATGGGATTATGTGTCATGTTGGCTGCGAGTGGGTAGGGGGTCAGCGGGGGGAGCCCATTGTGCAAGCTCGCCTCATCTGGGGGGGTCCCATTGTGTGCGGCTCCGAGCGCCGCTGCTGCAGGCGGCTTGTTTTGGGCGGGGGAGGTGTTCCTGCTCGCCGGGGCTGGCTGCCGTTTGACGTCAAGGCGCCCACGCTATGGTTTCTGTTGACTTCCCCTGAGCACAGATGGGCCAAGGGCGGCCTCCCGTCCAGGAAGAGCAGAGCAGGTCAGCGGGCCGTAAACAGAAGAGGACGCCGCGCAGGGCGGGCCCTGAAAAGCCGCTTCCTCCCTTCAAAGGCAGCCGTTCTCAGAAGATGCGAGCTCGGGTTCTTTCGAGTCGCCAGACCGGAATGAGGCATCGGTGTCGCGTCTTCTGATAAACACTCTCCTTCAGAGACACAGAGCGGCCGTTCTGATTGGATGTTATGGTTACATGCAGCGGCCACTCTCTGTCCGGCTTCCTTCTCACCGTAACACGGGGTGAACGCATTAGGTTAGAGTAACGCCTGAAGGATTTCGGCCAAAACGCTGCGAGAGAATTGAGTGTGGAGCAGGTTTGGGTGTGAGGAGCAGTTTAGGACGAGACTTTCATCCAGGCGCCTTACAAAATCGTGCCCCTAGTGAAACAGAGGCCGTCAATGCACGAGTATCACGTCTGTATAATGTCAAGGATGTGTCATGCTGTAGAATTATGGGTCTGCTGTTTGTTTTAAGCAAGCCAGTTATAAGCATTATATTTCATACTTGTGCTTAAAGCCGAACAGTGCCTGCCCCGGAGATCGCATTTAGATGCGATAAATCCACATTGTTTTCGCCACGCGAGGTTTCTCTGTGGCTCCCTACGGCGGTAAGAGGTTTGTGACGCAGGCAAGGGCTGCTTTCTTTGTCCCTGGCCGACGGCGCCACCGAGCTAGAGGAAGAGCGGACTTCCTGCATGGCTCGGAGTATTGTGTCCCCCCCGCGTCAGACAGACGGGGTCATATCGGGGCAGGAAGGGGGGGGGGGGACACACAGGTTTTTCCTGTTTTTCTGTGTCCCCCATAAGCCAGGCTGAATCTTTCACGGGTCCATGTACAAGGTAGCCGGCAGGATCACGGTGTCGGGAATATAGCGTCAGACCGTCGACTTCCTGGAGGCCCTCTGAGGTCGAGATTAATAAATCCTGAAATTAATGTCCACCAATCAGGATCGGCAAACGAAAAACCGCTGCAGATCGGTCCTGATACTCTCGCCGTTTTCACATGCAGCTAATGGTGGTTAGCACAAAGCGCAATTCCTCTAATCTCTGCACAGCCATCTGTGATTTGGTTGTTTTTCTCTATTCTGGAAGGAAGTGTGACGCTGACAGAGGGGGAAGGAAGGTGTCACTTCTGCCTTATCCTGCATTTTATCACAATATCGTGGTCATTACTTCCCTTACAGGACACCTCCTGGATTGTAGTCGATTACAAGAGCAAAACAGCACATAAATGCTGAATGATGATACCAACGGCGAGGGGGGGGGGGGCAGCAAGGCCCTTAACCCTGATGGCCCAGGGACCGTCTGACTCTGCTCTTTGATCTTCAGTTGTATGTCGCTTTGAACAAAACCGTCTGCTAGATAAATAAATGTAAGTGTCAATTACAGTTCTCTTTTGAGGATCAAATTACATGGAAATTACCTTGAATCAGCTTAAAGAAACTCCAGTTTTTTTAATCTTTCAATTTTAGTCTTTGGTCAGGTATTTGATCATATTTACTTACAGTATATTTATCTCTAGTCCCCATGAATCCATCAGCCCATCGCCAAAAGGAGCAAAGGTCTTCCAGTCACACTCGTATACAGCTACAGACAGACCCTTAGATGTTAGGGGCGGTCTGTGTCCCAGCAGGTTAATTCTCTGTTTTTGTGATTGGAAGGATAACAGTTTGAATTCTGTCCTCGGCAATGTAGTCATGTATCTGTTGGGCCCTTGAGCAGGGCCCTTAACCGACCCCCAAAATGCTGCAGGGGTGCCCGATTAATGTCTGACCCTGTGCCTGGACCCCAAACTTCACTCTTGTGCATGTGTCTCAAAGCAGAGTATGATGGGATATATACCTTCTAACATACCTGCATTCACTCTTGTGCAAATGATACATAAAGTGCCATTTCATGTTTGCTTGTTAGCTTTTAGCAGGTTTTTGGGGACAGTTCGGACTACAGTGTCAGAATGAGCTCTGTGGTAATCAGGTGAGACTTCAAGGGCCTGGCTTCTCTTTTAAAAGTACATGAGTGTGCGAGTGTGTGTGAGTGTGTGCGAGTGTGTACGTGCGGAGCCGTACGTGTCCCCCAGTCTGACACTGGAGGAACGTGGCCTATGCTTACTGCCCCGCCAGACTTTTTACGAGTCAACACACCGCCCGCTTGGTCTGTGGCTCATTCCTTCGCTCATACATTCCTCCCCCCTGTTTACTCGCCGGGAGGGGGGTCACGTACCCCCCTGCCCTTAGCCTTCGATCCAGAGATAACAATAGCAGTGACGCCAGCCCCTTGCCAAGGTCGGCATGGCAGCCAGGCTGGGAGAGCCTAGTGTTCCCTCCTGGATGAACGCTTAGCATCTGCAGTGTCGCCTTGAAGACATCAAGAGGAAACCAAAGCTATTAAATATCACCTCATGAATCTGCACAGAAGTTCTCCTCGGTGTACCTGGGAACCTGCATATGACCAAGTTCTCCTCATTGTACCCGGGAGCCTGCATATGAGCGAGTTCTCCTCACTGCACCCTGGAGCCTGCATATGAGCGAGTTCTCCTCACTGCACCCTGGAGCCTGCATATGAGCGAGTTCTCCTCACTGCACCCTGGAGCCTGCATATGAGCGAGTTCTCCTCACTGCACCCAAGAACCTGCATATTAGTAAGTTCTCCTCACTGCACTCAAAAACCTGTATATGAGTGAGTTCTCCCCACTGCACCCAGGAACCTGTATATGAGCCAGTTCTTCTGCAATATGAAGGACTCTTTTGTAAACCATTCTGCTAATTGCAATAAGCAGGATTATTCCACAATGACAGTGACGTAGTGGCCCCCTCCTTAAGGACAGGGCCGGACCATGTGGAGTGTTTTACCGCAGTGACAGAGCGTGTTTGGGCAGGAAGCCGTACACGTGAGTGAGGGGTGAGCGGATCCTCTCACCACCTGGCGCAGGCCAGCACCGGACTGTTCGCCGTCTCGCCTTGGCACCGGTGTCTCAGCTGAGTCAAAGGTCCCTGCGGGCGAGCAGAAATCACCTCCTGCGTTTACCCCAGTGTCAAACCCCCTCTGTGCTGCTGCCACCGTCTGCAGGGGCATTACTTGCCAGGGAAGGCCAGGCCGCGTGACCGAGTCGTGCCTCAATCCTGAGGGAGGGAGCCAGATCCCACAGACCTCAGAGGGCACCGTGCCCTGCACCATCACGCTGAAACATCGAGATTCTCCTGTAAAAACAAGAGAAAAGAGCAGAAGACCTGAATCGGTTGGTGATTGTCTCATGTCACTGGTTCAAATCTTCTGGTTGGTAAAGTGATTTCACCATTAGGCCCATGAGCAAGACCCTTAACTGCTTCAGGAAGAGGCTGGCCCTGCTTTCTCAGTTGTGTGTTGGTGTAGATAAATAAATG